GAAGTTCCTAGCGATAGCGCGACTCCTGAATAAAATGCGAGGAAGTCTCCGGCGGGAGCGGGGGTCCTGGCTAAATTGTTGGGAGATCTCACGTTGGAGCCGTTGTTGTTGTTACCCGGGGGCCAACAGCACAGTTTGAGCCTCAAGATGTTCCCCGAATAAAAAAGTTCGAGCGCAAGGAGGGGCACTTCAATTGAAAAATACAACGTGCACCGGAAGGGGGATCAACAATACATACTCTTCTGTAGGGAGGGTTCAACAACAAACATAACAACAACATCAACAACAATAACATCAACAACGACCCGCACCGCAAAACCTCACTTCATGTTCGCGCCTGGCATCAAGGAGTGACCCGTCGGCCCCCTCATTCTTGTATATACATATGTAACTACGAATTTCTCCGAGTATATTATCCTTTCTAAAAAGGCTCTCCCCACCCCCCGCCCCCGGCGTTATCCGCCCCCCTTCTCGGGTATGTAAATCATATACTGTTGTGACAACACGTCAATCCTAACTATGAATTTACAGTATCCCAGGGGGGGTGGCATCGTTACCCCTGAGATTCCCTTGTGAAAAAATGCGCGGCGACATTTTTTGTTCTAGCATACGACTTGTACACGAATCCCTTGCAAACGAATGAGACGAACTGCGCACGCGCGCATCGTCGCGCGCGCGTGCCGCAATCCTTCAAAAACCGTCGGTGCCGGAAGGATTTCGCGATCGAGTTTCCAAAACACCTGCAAAAAAACAAGGTTTCGCAACACAGATTTGCTAGAAAAGCTTGCGCGAGCTCTTGCGAAATCTTGAGAAAACCGTAGGTTTCTCAAGATCTTCACAACATGCTACCAAACGGGCTTCGCGCGCGCATGTCGAAATCTGTCGAACGCCCTTGCTCGTGTGCCGTCGCGAGAATCCTCTGCAAAAAACGGGACGAAGTGCAGACGCGCGCGTCGTCGCGGGCGTACGCCGAAAACCTTCAAAACCCATCGGTTTCGGAAAGATTTCAAAATCGTGCCTCCAAAAAACTGACAAAAAGGTTTCGCAACGCGGATCTTCAACAAAAGCGTGCGCGCGCGCTCTTGCGTCGTCGTCGTCGTCGTCGTCGTCGTCGCCGTCCTCCCCCCTCCTGCGTCGTCGTCGTCGTCGTCGCCTACGTCGTCCTCTGTCTTTTCTCGTGTTCGTCGTCGTCGTCCTCTTTGGCGTCGTGGTCGTTTCCGCCGTCGTTGTCGCCGTGGTCGTCCGTCCTCCTCCTCCCACGTCGTCGTCGTCGTCGTCCGTCGTCGGCGTCTCGTCGTCGGTTCTATTTCGTCCCGTCGTCGTCGTTGTCGTCGTCGTCTTCCCTCCTCCCTCGTCGTTGTCGTCGTCGGCGTCGCCGTCCTTCCGCCTTCGTCGTCGTTCGCGTCGTCGCCGTCCTCCGTCTTCCCTCGTCGTTGTCGTCGTTGTCGTGGGTGTCGCCGTCGTCGTCCTTCCTCCTCCCTCGTCGTCGCCTTCGTTGGCGTCGTCGTCGTCGTCTTCGTCGGCGTCGGCGTCGTTGTCGTCGTCGAAGTCGTCGGAGACGTGGTCGGCGTCGTCGTCGTCTTTGTCGTCGGTGTCGTCGCAGTCGGTCTTAAGAGGTTTTGCAAACCAAGTTGCGGCTGGGAGGGCGGGGTGTTGGCGCGAGCAGTGGAGAGGACAGCATCAAGTTGAGCAAGTGATCGACTGCGCCACATAGGTTCTCTTTTCTGGAAACTAGAATAGACTCTACCCCCCCTCCCCGGGAGTCAACAACCCCCCTTTTCGCATTTCAATGTACATCTAATCTTGCCCCGCCATCCATCATACATACGAACTCATATTGCCCCAACCAGGCCGGCATCGCACCCCCCCCCCCCCCCCCCCCCCCCCCCCCCCCCCCCCCCCCGCCATCCTCTTCCAGAAGTACTACGCGCGCGCACTCGTGCGTCACAAGTCACAATTTTTCAAGAATCCCTGTGAAAACATGCCGCAAAGTCATCACGCGCGCGCCCACGTCAAAATCGCACCAAACTCAATGTGTTCGCACGCGTTTCAATATAAAAACCTATAACGCCCGAGGGCTTCGCAACGCAAATGTTGTAAATTTCCTGTCCGCGCGCCCATGCTACAACCATGCAGAAAATCATGGGATCCCTATGAATTCGGCCAAAGCCAACGATTTCATATCACCACGCGGCGCGCCCGCAATACTCCTGTCATGCGCCGAGGGCGCGAATCCCTTGCAACGAAATACCACGCGGGCCACGCGCGCGCACCGCCGCGCGCGCATGATCAGTCTGACGGATGCGTTGAACGTCCGCGCGCGCGGGCTTCCTTTTTAACCTTGTCAGCATCGCCGCGATCGCCTGCCCCATCGACAGATGGACATCAGCATCGCCGACGTGTGTGCCATCCTTGGCGCCGTTTTCGTTCGTGCCGTCGCCCTCTTGAACATCGTCATCGCTGGTGCCATCTTCATCATTGTCGCAGACGTTACCGACGTCACCTTGCCATCGCGCACGTCCGAGTAACGTCGGTATGCTCACCTTCATCATCGACTCACGGTGAAGAGCATCGGCGGTGAGGACGTCACCATCGATGTCGTCATCGGTGCCGCCGCCACCCCCTGCATCAGGAGTTTTGCCAAACAGGTGGATGGCGGGAGGGTGGGATGTTTGCGCGAGCATTGGGGATGACGACTTCAAGTTGAGCAGAGTGGCTTGCACATCGTAGATAGTACAAAACATAATGCAACACACAGGCTGCACAACACAGGGTGCACAACAGATATTGCACCGCGTAGATTGCACCACATAAGTCGCTCCACCTGTCCTTCACACGCTAAAGTTGCACCACCTCGATCGCACCACACATGTTGCATTACAATACTTGCCCCACGTACATTGCACTATCTAATTAGCTACAAACGCAATGTTAAGTGCCCAAAATGACTAACATGTTGCGTTGTTATATTTATCCCTCTCTCTCTCGCTGTGTTCTCTCTGCCTCGCTCAATGTATGTTGTGGTGTGTCTCTCCCTCGCTCTCTTTGCATCCTTCGCAGCCTTCCCAAACAAAGTTGGCCTACATAGCAGCAGGGGCTCATGACATGAATGTTTATTGCCAGGCGGTTGCTCGACTTTTCTCTACCCCACCCATTGCCCCCCCCCCCCCTCCTCTCAACTCATGCTCCAAATCCTTGCTGCAGCCTCTTCCACTCTGCCTCTCTCTCTCTCTCACTCTCTCTCTCTCTCTTTGTTCTCTCTCTCTCTCTCTCTCTCTCTCTTTGTGTCATATCTCTCTCTCTCTCTCTCCTTGTCCCTCCCTCTCTCTCTCTCTCTCTCTCTCTCTCTCTTATTATCCCTTTATGTCGCAGTTCTTGTTCTCTACATGCTTCGTTATGTCTGTATCTCGTCGTAGCAACTGGCCCCTCTGTGGGGCCACCTGGCTAAGCGGAGTAGGCCTGTTGCTCCATACGCCAGTTTCGCTTTCCAGCGTCCAATGTGATGGTTCTACTTTCTGCGTCCAGCTGTAGATTGTTAAAGTCCGTGCGAGGGGGGTGGAGCCCCGAACCACCTACACCACGCCTTCCGGAGGATCTCAGAATTCCTGGGGACCGTGGGACATGTAAATATGAAAGATTCGCGCCCCCAAAACAATCAACCCTCATACATTAAACGATATTCGCGTGGCCGATGCAAGAAAACCATGAAATTACACAACATGCGTCCCCGAGGCAATAGTCCTTCGTAACTTGCGCGGATTCTGCGTCCCCGAGGCAACACACCCTCGTGCATTACGCTATAGTCGCGTTCCCGAAGCCATACATGCTTTGAAAAATACTCGGTAAATGCGTCTTTTGAGGCCAACTACGAAATACATTACGCCATATTCGCGTCTCCGAAGCCACAATCCGTTGTACAAATATACAATATGTGCGACCCCGAGGCCACAAACCCATGTACATTACGCCATGGTAGCGCTCCCGAAACCATAAACCGTTTGAAGTTACGATTTGCTCGCGTCCTTGAGGCAAGAATCGCCAGGTAACTATTCAACATTTGTGTGCCTGAGGCCACGAGTTCGTAAACGACGCAATGTTCGCGTCCTCGAGGCCACGATCCCCCGTAACTTTAAACGTGTTCGCGTTCCCGGAACCGTGGTCCTTCATAAGTTATATCAGACTCACGTCCTCGAAGCCACGATCACTTGTACGTTACACGGTAGGCGCGTTTCCGAGGCCGTGATCTCTTGGAAAATATACATGATTCGCGCCCCGAGGCCACGATCCTCAGTGAATTACGCCGCGCCCGCGCCCCCGAGGCCACGATCGTTTATAAAATTACGCTCCTGCTTCTTGCGCCTCCTCCCTCCTTACTCCTCCTCCTCCTCCTCCGCCTCCTCCTCCTAATGGGCCCGTCGTTTCAGGATGGGCTCATGTTGCTGCACGCTCCTGTGCAGCTCTTCGAGTTCACGCAATGTGAACACCATCCTCATCATCAACATCATCTGCATCAACGTTTACATCGTCATCATCACCATCATCAGCAGTACCATCATCATCAACATCATCACCATCATCATCAGCAGCAACATCAACATCAACATCAACATCATCATCGTCGTCATCACCAACATCATCATCATCGTCGTCATCACCAACACCAGCACCAGCGCCGACAGCATCATGAGCAAGATCCTCCATCACCATCTCCGTCGGCGTCAGCATCAGCATTATCAACATCACCATCGCCGTCAGCATCATGTCTTCAAGACGGCGCCAAGACATTCGAACATAGCTCTTATGAATCCCGTTATCATAGAATAGGAGGCTGGCGGCACGGGGCGAAGCCCTTACGGATACGTCTAAACCATTTGCATACCTGTATCTACAAACGCATGTAAACACATCTATGTGTATACATAAACAGATGAACGTAGGTACGCATCCTCCTTCGCAACGGCTCGGCATGACCGAGTGCAGGACAAGTCTGGCAGCCGCTCCTGCGTAAGCCGCTGATTCATGATCTCACCCATGCCCGTCGCGTCCAAATGCGTGAGGTAGATCAGAGCCTCCACGCATGCAAGGCGGGGATGGAACACCTGAAAGATTTCGGGCGCGGTCCGTCAACACACGGTTTTGATGCTTGGGAAGCCCGAGTCGCCCGAGACGCCCTCGGACTTTTCTCGGAGTCCCAAACCCGTGCGGTGACCCCGAATCCCAATTTACTCATCACGCGGTGTGGTCACCACGCCGTGTTGGGCCCCCCAGAAAGATGCACGAGCTTTGGAGGCGACCAGCGGGTCTGAACTGGATGGGCCCCGAGAAAATCGAGTAAGAGGGGGGGACAAAGCTCAAGATCTGCCCACAGACAACTACCGGGCTCATCTGGTGCAATTTTTCACCCTGAATCCGTTCTTGACGGTCCCGGGTCCCGAAAACGGCCCCTAGAGGCCGAAGAAGGATAGAACCCTTCTTGAACTAGCGCCTCGAACCCCCCCCCTCATTCCTGCTCGCCGGAACTTGGGCCACCTAAGACCCTCCGCTGGTCCCAAGACTAGACCCTATGAAAGACAATGGAGCAGGGTGGAGCCAGGATATCGATACGGGATACAGTCGAGGTTGACTGGAGAGGACACTCGAGAGGACACCAGACCCGTTCGAAGGCCACATTGCCATAGGAATCTGGAAAACATGGGTAGCGAAAGACGAGATACGACGTACCCTTGATTTGGCAGGGTCGACCTACTATAATCGAACTCAACTGTCTGGAGGGCGATGTGAGGAAGGACGGACAGCGAGCGTGGGAGATGGACGGGCGGATGAGGGGAGGAGGAGGCGAACGAGGGATGAGGAAGAGGCTGTGCGAAAAACAATAACAATCAGCAAGAAAGATACGGGATGCCGGAGGATGAGCAGCAGCATCAGTAGCACGATCCGCAAGAGGACGGACGACCTGGCAAGGCCGACCTACGAATCGACCCTTACCGTGCCAAGCCACCCGCCTTCGCGCCCCCGCGCCGCGGCCCTGACTCCTTGCCTCCGACACGCCTCGGGCTCCCCCTTCAGGGTCGGCGGCACCGGCCGCAAGGCCTTCACACTAGGCATAAACTGGTGGAGATCCGCGCGGAATTATTGGATCGGCGCTGGGACCCCCCTTGCGTCTCCTCCCCTGCGCCGCCCCTGGCGCGCTCCGCGGGCCTGGGAGCGGGGCCCAGCGCCGCTCCAAGAAATCCGCGCAGATCTCCTACAGATTATGTTCTGCAACTTGTTCTTCTTCGAACGATGCGGAACAATGCTGTTTGGACGCCCGAAATGGGTACGGAAAAAATGCGCACAATGCCCGACAACAAATGTTGTCCCGAACCAACAGCGGCCGCTGTTGGGCAGGCGGCCTTCTGTCTCAAATGGACACAGGCCGCGGCGGCGCGGACAGCGAGACCTGTTCAAAATGAACAGGAACTGCTGTTGGGCATCGTACCCATTCTTTCCGTACCCATTTCGTTCGCGCCGATGCTGTGCGCGTGCGGGGAGCCAACAGAACACGCAACGACCACCGCCAGAACAGACCGGCCCTCGCGAGCCATGCGCCGCTCGTGGCGCGAGGCGGTGGTGAGACACGGTTCACGCTGTGGTGATGTTTACTTTAGCGCACTGCGGCTGCGCCAAAAAACGCGGTGGGCCCAACGTGCTACCAAACAGCAGAAAACATAAATAGCCTGGCGGAGAGCTCAACCCTAAAGTAGGGCATGTGCGCCCTCTTCGACTGCATCCACGGGCGTCGAGTCTGGGGCGCCCTACGACGCAGAATGCGTGGGTGGCCTGCCAGACTCATGTGTGCACACTGGCGCCACGGCTGCGGCTCTCAGGGCACAGACACCGTGCGAGGGTGCGCCAAAATGGGGTGGGCGCGCGTTGGAAGTGCTCACTGGCGCCGTACCTGGGGCTCTCTCTGCGGGCGCGCGCGAGGTGGAGGGAGGCGCGTCGCCCCAGGGGGCCTCCAAAGTCGCAGGCTGGCAGCACAGGTCAAGCATGACAGCTTACCCGATAACCTCGACGCGCAGGCTGGGCCCTAGCAGCTTTCCCCCCGCTGCAGGCAGACAGGTTTGCGTGCACGGTACGGTGCCCCCCGTCCGCCAGCTGCTTCAAAACCATGATGGGCCAACGTAGCGCGCAAGCGGGTCTCGATTCGCGATGCACAAGCCTCGCCAGGCCTCCTCCGTCCCAATAGAAAGCAACACACGCGCATACAGCCGAAACTACGACAGATGAACCTCCTTCAAGAACATGAGACCCTCCGCCAGCTAAACTGAAGTACATTCGAGGGTACCCTCCCCCAGGATGCACCAGAACATCCAACAAACACAAGAACATTAGGGTACCCTCCTCGAGCCGATCTCGATCCTACACCTCAGCCCGACCGTAATTACCCCCTGGGCGCGCAGTCAAATTCGGTTTTTGGGTCATAACTCGGCTCTGCGGTGGCCGCTCGGGACGATCCGGGCACCCCCGGAACGCTCTTGGCGAGGTGCAGCCGCTGGAACGCATCCCGAGGGAGGAAAGCTGACAGGAAACTTCAAAAACCCTCGAAAACTACCTCGGTCCGACCAGATGGACTGGCGGCGCGCACAAGGAGGCAGGGGGAGGGGGGAGTGCTTCTTAGAAGGAGGCTGTTCCTTAGAAGGCGCCGAACCGAATGCACTCACGCATTGTCCGAAGTCCGCGCGTAGCCAACCCAGCAGGGTTGCGTGCTCGAGCGCTGGTGTGTGGCCAGGGCGAGTGCTGCTCTGCAGAGGGCGGCGCTGGGCAGAGTGTCAGGTAGTGGCATACAGTGCGTCTCAGAATCCTTCAGGATGATCGGCGGCGTTGCTTGCGAAGTCAGGCTCGGTTGGTTGAGAGATCGTTCATTTGGATTCCCAGAGTTCCAGTCCAGTGTTTTTCGTTTTCGTGTTGTTTTCGTTTTCCCTCGTTTTGTCTTCAATCCGCCTTAACCGCACAGCGACGTCGAACCGAAAACGGCCCACGAAAACGACAAAACACAGTTTAGGTCCAGCCCTGGTTTGTCTTGGGTCGGCGCCAGGCACCCCTCTCCACACGCCCCGGCGCATCGGGGAAGGGAGCGCGCAGCCCGCCAGGAAGGGAGCGCGCAGCCCGCCAGGGGTGTACACCGCCCAACCAAGAAAGCGAAAGCCGCGCGGACCTCCGAGCGCTTATGGCTGAAGAACGTTTCGAGTAGGGGATCGAGCATAGAGGAAGGAAAACTGCACAACCCTAAGCGTTTGGATGTCTGCGTGGATTTCTTGGATCTGCGCTGGACCCCCTTGCCTGGCGCGCGGAACGCCAACACTTTGATGTATTCCGTTTTTCTTGTCCGAGACCACATGATTCATATACCCCTGAATATAGTTTCTCGTCGAGTCATACGTAGCATGTTCGTAGATCTACGAGCATCACGGATTCGACGAACAAAGGAATTATGGTGTACATGAATTCGTTAGCCGATCCCCTAAACAAACCTACACGCCATCAACTGAAGACATCGCTCGCCAGGCTTATCTCCTTCCCCCTCCGTGCGAGCAACCTTGCCAGACTCCAAGGAAAAAAGGATCTGCAGAGGACCCTGTGGAGGCCTCTGGGGGACCAACAGAAACGCCAGAAAACCCTTACCATCGACCGATGCTTGATGAAGACTCTCGACCGTGGATCGACGACGACCGAGTCTGAAAAGAAAGCACCTCCAGGATGAACAGCGGAACGCCTCGCACATGGATTCGAACCCTCCGTCTCAAGAGGACGCCCGAGACCGCCAGCAGGCGCCTTAGAGGCCCGCAAGAAGCCACGAACAGGCCCAAAAGACAACCCGAGAGACCTAAAATGGCCCAAGGGATCCAATATGCATCCAGGACAACTATGACCCAAAACGCTGACACGGTGCCCGTTTGGGCCGAAGGCCAGTAGACCTGGCCCAGCACAGAAACGGAAAGAGCGCTTCAGAAACAGAAACCGAAATTACTCACACCACCGTTCGTACTGGAAACCTTGGCGTTGAGAGCTTGTTACGTCACCCCTCGCTCCTGGGAGCCTTGGTGTTCAGAGATTGCTGCGTTGCCGCCCGTTCCTGAGCCTTGGCTGGGCCTTGGTGTCAGGAACGTGTTACGTCACCGCTCTCTGCTGGGAGCCTTGGTCGTATCAGCTTGTTTACGTCACCGTTCGCTCTTGGGAGCCTTGGTGTGAAGAGCTTTGATCTTATATTTTGCCAGTGGCGGAAGCTGCTTGAGGTTAAGAACAGTACGCAGGCACGCTTGACAGATTGGCACAAACTGCGATACAAAATGCTGTCGGCACCGAACAAGGAGAGGCCTTGGGCTGGCGTGGGCCGAGCGAGGTGCCTTGAGAGAAGACAGCGGCACACACGGCAGATCATTCACGCGAATCATTTACATGATCTTCTATTTTGCCAGTGGCGGAAGCTGCTTGAGGTGAAGAACAGTACGCAGGCACGCTTGACAGCTTGGCACAAACTGCGATACAAAATGCCACACTTCAAACCTTAGGCCCACTACTCAAGCATTTTGTTGGGGTAGCCCCGCATACGTTTCCATCTTTCAGTGGATTGCTGTGCAACGCAAGAGGAATGCAACGTTTCTGCAAGGAGAGTGCACAGTTCAGGCGGGTAAGCATTCTTTAGTTTAGTGCTGAACCCGCCTTCCGAAAAACCAGTCAGCTCCAGATGAGGCTTCCCGGAAACAGAACAGATCCCCTTGTCCTTACAAACGGGCTTCTCGAGCCCAGGGTGAGGAACACACTTCCAAAATTGAATGCGAGTGCGGGCACGAAACGAGCGCCCGCAAGCACAGTAATCCACAACTCCATCACAAACTTGCGGGAGGCGGCCAAATGCTAGGCGATCAGGGCGAAGCCATAGGAAGCTTTGCCAAGGATTCTCTTCACCGCCTGGCACATTCATCTTGTAACAAAGCAAAGTCTCTGGATGCGTTGCGAGACCCACCCTAACTTGTTGGAGACTCGAAGGCTC